GGTTCTGATGACTTAGGACTTGTGCCCCTCTGGTGACATACGATTTTTGTGCACCAAACCCTATGCATGTATGTACTGTAATGTACTGTACTGTAACGTAATGTACTGTAGTGTAATGTAATGTACTGCACTTTACTGCAATGTAATGTAATGTACTGTAGTGTAATGTACTGTACTGTACTGTAATGTACTGTAAGTATGTAGGTCCTGATGACTTAGGACTTGTGCCCCTCTAGTGACATACGATTTTGTGCACCAAGTCCTATGCATGTATGTACTGTAATGTACCGTACTGTAATGTAATGTAATGTACTGTAGTGTAATGTAATGTATTGTACTTTACTGTAAGTATGTAGGTTCTGATGACTTAGGACTTGTGCCCCTCTAGTGACATACGATTTTTGTGCACCAAACCCTATGCATGTATGTACTGTAATGTACTGTACTGTAATGTAATGTAATGTACTGTAGTGTAATGTAATGCACTGCACTTTACTGTAATGTAATGTACTGTAGTGTGATGTAATGTACTGTACTTTACTGTAAGGTAATGTAATGTACTGTAGTGTAATGTACTGTACTGTACTGTAATGTTCTGTAAGTATGTAGGTTTTGGTGACTTAGGACTTGTGCCCCTCTAGTGACATACGATTTTGTGCACCAAGTCCTGTGCATGTATGTAATATACTGTACTGTAATGTGCTGTAATGTAATGTAATGTACTGTAGTGTAATGTAATGTACTGTACTTTACTGTATTGTAGTGATGTAATGTACTGTACTGTAATGTTCTGTAAGTATGTAGATTCTGATGACTTATTCAGAGAAGATTTTTTTTAAAAAACTTAAAAAGTGCTGCAGCGCACGAGCGTGATGACTTAGGATCATCTTAATATATTTCTGCTAGTTCATTCCTATGTCATCATGGTTTTACAAGTGGCCCATGCCGCACTAAAAAAAATCAAACATAGTTTCTAATCTCGTCGGACACCTGATGAGTTGGGACTTGTGCCGGGGGGGTCCGACGCATGATGAGATAGGACTTGGCCACACCAGGGTATCTTTCACAAGTCCTAAGTCACTCGCTTGAAATATAACTTGTTTTCAAAGGATTTGCAACACATGTAGCATGCTAGGATTTTCTTACAAAATTCCTTTTTCAAAGTCTTTGGAAATAAGGTTACATCAGCAGGCTGAGACGCAACTTATTTCCTAGACAACAAA